GTTCATCAGGTCGCTTCTCGAAAGGATTTTATATCTGTTTACGTGATTTGAGTCGTGCAGGGATTATGATGTAAATCCTTTCACTTCTGGCCCAATTATACAATGCCATATTTTTTAATGGTTATGACAAAATTTTAATCTACAGGTGGACTTAAGCCAAGAATCGATTACGAGATTCATACAATTAACGCTCCTCTTGCTTGGAATTGAGGATATTCGTGACGTTAAGGTTAATGAGTCATAATAGCTGGACGTTTCCGTAATATATGACATAGTTACCTGAATTAGATTAAGTCATAATCGTTACTATGACACCTTTATTAAGGAGGATGTAGTTATGTAAAATCATTACTTAATCACACTAAAATTCGAATTGTGGAGAAGAAAATTATAAAGTGGAATCATTTGTGGTTTAAAATGTCGTAAATTATAAAGATATCGAATGATAAAATTTAAGAATTTTAATACGAAATGGTTAAGATAATGTACGAATTGTTGTTATACATGTCAAATTTTATCCAAAATAATTCGTCCTCAAATACATAAAATATACAGTAAAACCTCTACTTTGAGACTACCAATGGTTCCGATGGGGTGGTCGCCGCATTGGAGGGGTTTTTCATTGAATCAAATAATACACTATACTTTAATAATACGATATTTATTTTAATTTTTTATCGTTATAAATAAGAAAAANAAATACATAAAATATACAGTAAAACCTCTACTTTGAGACTACCAATGGTTCCGATGGGGTGGTCGCCGCATTGGAGGGGTTTTTCATTGAATCAAATAATACACTATACTTTAATAATACGATATTTATTTTAATTTTTTATCGTTATAAATAAGAAAAATCATAAGAGTTTATTTTGTGCAATGTGACCTAGTGCTCCATTCTAGGCAAAAGCGGTCTTTTTCGAGAAGAATGGCTTCAGATGAGTGGTCTTTTAGATGGGTTTCACTGTATTTCTATGAATATGAGTTAGGAAACATATCTGTAGGTAGATTAGATTTAATTTTGTGATGCTTGATATCGAGCGAGAGTTATATAGCCGACCTCTATTATGTTCATTATAGGATTAGTACTGGGTTGCAATCACTCAATATTGAGTAACAACTCTAATGTTAATATCTGAAGCGAACCTTCAACAAGAATGAAAGATGGTGAATGGAGTTACGATCCGAACTATCCATAAAAAGTCTAATCGAATTCGAATACGCATCCCTCACGTCAATAAGATGATATGTTACTAGAAAGTCATCTGTCTGACGATGTAAATGCAGATGAAATTCGGTTACGTGACGTAATTATAAATGAAAAATTGAAATATGAGTGTAGAATATGATCGTATTCTCCATTTTCAGTGTAAGGGATAAAGCAATATGTAATATATTACGACTGTTTTAAATAGTCTGCACGATTATTTTAAAATTTAAACATATAAAACTCATAATTTTAATTTATTTTTTTTCCTCTAAAATTTCAATTTATTTAGTTTCTATATTATCTAAAATACTGTATAAAGATCAGTAAATATACAGTACCGGTACAGTAAAACCTGAATAAACCGGAATCGCATTGTACCGGGTTGGGAAGGTTTCCGTTTTTCACAGGTTTCTTTTCTAACATTTAAAAAATGGCTCCGTTCCGAAGATTTTTCCCGTTTATGCAGGTTTCCGTTTTAGACAGATTTTATTGTATATAGTTATATGAGTTTATTTATTTATTTATTAAAAATTCAAGAATAAATTTTGATGGAAGAAAGCTATAATAATTCTGTAATTAATCTTATATAAGAGTACTTTATAATTATTTAATAAATATACAAATTTTATTACATTTTATAAACACGAGAATCGATTATAAAACAGTTTATTATATAAATTCTTGAATGATTTATATTCTATAACATTATAGAATTAATTCATAAGATCAAAGTAATCCTGCTAGATCTATATTATAATTAAATAATTAAGTAAGCACAGTCTAGAATAAAACTACAAAAATTGTAGAAATAAATGATAATGTTCACATTTTTAACGTATAAAGAAAATGGTATTTGTACATAGATCTATCAATAAGAATCTCTTCTATAGATCATTTATTATATAGAGTTTCGATTGCGCAAATATATATCCAAACATCAGAAACAGTGAAGAATGGCGAGAGGTAAATAGGGGTAAATGATAGGGGTAAATAGTTTTTTGTGCTGAAGGAAAAAACAAATATTAATAAAGACATAAGTGTATCTGAAAAGGAATCGCACTATCATTTGATCTTTGGTCCAAAGGGACCAGCAATTGTGTTTCTTTGCCATTCATCATTTAGTGGTGATCCTTAGTCTCCAGAATAAGATCCGCTCGCTATATCACTAGAACTTTGGTACGGTCCATAAATTTTATTTCTCTTTTGTCTTTTCTAGCACACAAGACCTATGGAATTCCACGGTTATTAAGTTCTCTCCACAAAAGAAAAAAAATCGATGAGATAAATCGAGTGATCTCACACTACTAAAGGCAAAGTTTAAATATGAATATCAATGTATTATTCGTGTGTAGTTGACGAGAAGCTTTGGATTTTTATTTTTAATTTACTTTCTTAATAAGATCTCGATAGAAAAATAGAAGAAGTACTCGAGAGGATAGCACTTAATCGATTTTCTTATAGCTTATGTAAAGATAATTAAAAAGAAAGAAGTTTTGTTGTACTGTTTCAAAATTTAAAGGTTACAATTGAGAAACTGATTAAGTGTATATACTTCGAGTGTGCTTATTTTGCGGGACTCACTTGTTAAAAAAAAGGGAACTTTTTTCGTTGTTTTATTGTTTTCCCCCTTCTTATTGATCTATTTGGTATATAAAAAAGGGGGAATCGCCTTATTATCTCGAACAATGTAGTTACCACAAAATGGCGGTTGTAAACAGCTAAAAAAATGAAGAAATTCTGTTTCATTCTACCAAATCTGTTAATGTTTTCCTGTAAAATTTATGAAAATGGCGTTATGCTGTCTAGAAAAGGTCGTCGTGTCGCGTTTGATTCACTTAGAAAGAATAAGAAGGAAAAAAATCAAATTTAAAATGGCATATTGGGGTGTTTTTTTATTGTTCATCTGGGACATAATGGTAGAAGTACCATAAACTTGCATTTTAACGATTGCTATAACTGTCCACATAACACTTAAGGTGATTGGTGGCAATGATTCCAAGAGTTGACTATTTTCAGTTTGTTATTTATTTAAATATCCATAATAAATTTGGGCTTTTATGTATCAAAAGGATTTCTCTAGTCGAAAAGAATTGAGGAAAAAGGAGAAAAAATCTAAAGAAATAAAGAGAATTTCTCCTATTCAAAATATAAAAGTGTTATGATTCTTTCAGATATATTTTGCATTTAAATTTTCTTATTATTTCAAACATTTCTACATTTTTCTTAGAATATGAAAATGCTAAGTTAACAAAAGTGTAAACGTTTTTCCTATAAGATTTTAAGCATTATCCATTCACGTCTGGAAATAATAATAATAATAATATAAAAATAAATCTTTAAAAATCTTTATTTAAATACACGGTAAAACCTGTGTAAACCGGATTCGATCCGTGCCGAATATTTTTTCCGTTTTGGACAGGTTTTTTATTGTATATTTCTCTTGTTGTTTGATGTTCCGCACTTCATCACCTCGCACTCACATGACATTATTCTACCTGATTTTTTTTTTCACAATTGCAGATAACTAAGCCCAGCTTATCTATGAATTCCTCTTAATGCACTGCTTTATCTGGATTTCTAAGCTTGTTGTTGGCTTGATGACTTACTATAACAAAGGCAACTATCATAATAGAAACGCAATTTTAATTAAAAAAAATTATTTTTAAAAAGGAATTCTTTCTGAATAGAATTGTATTTTTTCATTAAAGATCCAATGAAGTTGTAGTTTATAAAGAATTGTTTCTTATATTTTTCTGTAAAAAAATACATTTTTTATTCATTTTAAGTGTTTTTTTTAAATAAACTTAGGCGGTATTTCTTTTAATTTTTAATTAAAAAAATTCAAATAACTTAAATTGATAAATACAGTAAAACCTGTCCAAAACGGAACCTGAGTAAAACGGAAACCTGTCCAAAACGGAACCTGAGTAAAACGAAAACCTGCCTAAACGGAACCTGAGTAAAACGGAAACTTGTCTAAACAGAACCTGAGTAACCCGGAAACCTGCCTAAACGGAACCTGAGTAAAACGGAAACCTGCCTAAACGGAACATGAGTAAAACGGAAACCTGCCTAAACGGAACCTGAGTAAAACGGAAACCTGCCTAAACAGAACCTGAGTAAAACGGAAACCTGCCTAAACAGAACCTGAGTAAAACGGAAACCTGCCTAAGCGGAAAAAATATTCGGAACGGGCGATTCCGGTTTACACAGGTTTTATATATATAGTTTTTTAAAACAGAAAATCCTTCCGTTCGGAAGATTTAGGCAGGTTTTCGTTTTATTCGTGTTCCGTTTTGGACAGGTTTTTACTGTAATGAATATTAAATATAAAAAATTATAAATTAATAAATCATAAATATATAATTTTAAAATGAATTTAAAAAATATATATATTTAAACGTTTCTATATTTTAAAAGTAATTTCCAAAGTCCATAGAGGGAAAAAAAAAATTATATTTTAAATTATTACAGAATAAAATATTCCGATAAAAAATAAATATGTAAATTTAAGCGATGTAAATATAAAATGTTCAAATTCCTCTTTATATAAAATGCTTTTATAGTACATAAAAATATTACAATTTTCTTTTATAGAGAAATTTTCGGTTTGTGACAAAATTTCATCAAACATTCACAAGAGAAGGGAATGTAAAAAAATTTTTTTTTTAGTAGCATAAAATATTTAAATTAAATTTCATTCGGTTTATACAAGGCAAAACAAAAATGCATAAAAGTTAAGAATAATTTGAGAAAGGATAAAAGGAAAAAGGACATTCCTTGGAGTGGAAATGCTTCTAAATGATAGTTAAAAACTTTTATTTCTCGCTAGAGTATAAAGAAAAACATCCCAAGACAAGGAGAGTCTTTTCCAGAGGAGTTCATCTGTCAGATCCAGAAACAAAAAGTGAAGTTTAAAAAAAAAAATCTTGCCAAATTTCCTTGCACCACCCATAAAACCACTGTAATTGGCCGACATCTGCAGCCGTGAAGATTGAACAAAAAGTAATGTTCTTCGTAATGATTCTTTTTCAACGTTTTAAAATCTTATCCGGTCTATCATTATCTTTCTTTCTACTTCTTTCTATATATATATATATATACAATTTATATATATACATGTAGGCTATATAAAATTTCTCAATTTATCTTCACTTATTGATTAATAACACTTTAAAATTCAAACAAAAATTAATAAATTATTTCCATTTAAAAATTCCTTTGATTCTTTTTGATTCTTTCCTTTTGATCCTTTAATAAGTGAAGTTAAAATGTCTCAATTTATCTTCACTTATTAAGGATCAAAAGGAAATAATTAAACAATCAAATTAATCAATTAGTTTTATTTAAAAATCCTTTTGATTCTTTGATTCGTAACTGCATTTTCTCGACTTTCATTCTTGTAATTTCTTCCCTGATTCCTGTGCTGTATCTACATTTTCCTGATTTTATCTCCATGATTTATCTCCAAGTTCTAACCTACACCTAACCTCACCTAGCTTACATTCTGCCAATTATTTCTGATTTACAGGATAAAAATTAGAAAAAAATGCAGATGTAAGTTAAGAATATTTAAGAGAATATCGGGAATTTTTCTTGTAAGAGGGGAAAATTTTTATTTACGTTTTGTTTTATTCTTATAAATCTTAAATATATTGTAAAAGAGAGAAATTTGAATTTTTGCATTTTTTATAAAATATCAAACTTGACAAAACTCGTTGGCATTCCTGTGAATTTCTTTTTTAATTCCTGTTCTGTACCTGCATTTTCCTGATTTTTATCTTCTTGATTTATTTTCAAGTTCTATCTTGCATCTAACCTTTCCTAAGTTACATCTGTGCCATTTATTTTTGATTTACAGGATAAAATACAAAGACACAAGCCAGAAAATCGCGAATGTAAATTAAGAATATACGAAACAATTTAAAATATTAGAAATATCTCTGTAAAATGTGAGAAAAAAAGATTATTTTTCTTTCAAAAATCATACATTAAAGTGTAATGAAGGACTCTGAATTATTATAAAATATCAATAAGAATTACATTTTACTTTATTCCATAAATGTAGAGTTATAAACTCTAGAAAATTTTCGAATTTAAAGTCATTCTTGGCTATATTTAATTCCTACTTTACATTGTATTCAAACATGCAAAGGAAATTCATTAATTTATATTTTAATCTTGACAGAAATTAATCAACGCATGAAGTGGCACTTTTCAACTCTTCACAAATACACTTTTAATTTTGAGATTCTGTAAAAGTTTAAATTTGCAAACAAATCGAAGATGAAAAATTCTGTCAAATCATGTAGTAAAATGGGAAAAAATTACATTTAGTCAATGCTACATGTAATTTATTTCCCCCTCTTCTTTTCCCCTTTTCATAAATTTCCAGAATCAGCAGAAAGGAAAAACTCATAGAAACATCCAAGAATAACATTAGTATATGCAAGAGAAAAGAGAAGAAAAAAAAAACAGGTTAGACATACCAGACAGTTTTAACACGGCCTAATGGACAATAGAATTGATAAGAAGAGACAGGTGCAGCACAGGGTTTCTATTGTCAATGCAATGGACAGGTGGGCTAATGGAAACTCTGAAATCCAAGCCTGGATTACAACATACCTGGAGTTAGTGTTAACTTACAACCGGTCAGTGCCCTCTCGACCCTGAACTTGGTTGTGCATCCCCTAAGTTCCTTCCGTAATTGCCCACGATCGTACGGCCTATCTATAAATCCAACACCCTTACAATTACGGATATCACCGACTTCGGCAAAGTAACATCTAATACACCTTCATCTTTTATTCAGCAACAACAGAGGAAAAAAATAAGTAGTTTTTATTCAGAACTCTCTGGGGGCCCCTGCCAAGGTAAGGTCTTCACCCACTCTAGCCCCTAGCTTACATGTTGGGTCCGGGTGTGTGCTTTATTGGACAGTGTGACCTCGCTTGATATTTATGTTGTTATTCGTGGTATTCACTTCCGCACATTTCGTCGCTAGAATAGAGACCAGTCGAGAGGCACTCGGTTAAAAGTGGACGCACTGCCCTTGCAATAAAAAATAAAAAAATAAAAAAAGAAACACAAGAGAGCCATAGCTTAGGGCCATACAACAGGTGCTGCATAAATACGTAAAATACATTAATATATTTTAATAAAATATACTTTATAGTGTTTTAAAATCGTACGCCTGTGAATATTTATAACGGAGGTATATTTTTGAGATTTTTATCTACAGACCCACCGCGGAATAAATGACAGAGATGGAGTCAAAATGCGAAGAGGGTAACATGTCTAAAGATCTACCCTCCTTATTTCACTTAGTTCATAGCTTGATACACTTGAAGCTTGGTTAAAGGAGGAAAACGTTTGTTTGTCAGCCTTTGTGACGTATGAGGTCATCCATCATTATCCTCCCTTTTTGTAACCGTCGAGCTGTCAAACTTCGAGACTGCACTTACCCTTTAAAATTCGAAAAACAACAATATGTTTAATTCGGTCCAGGTGATACCTCTATTGACTTCTTGCCCCTTTCATACACAACACTTGCTAATTGAATTTAGAGGGTTAAAAATAGAGTCGACAACAATTCTGCAACTCTAGCCTGTTGTTGAATTAACTTCTATTCATTAAAACTTAAAATAATCCCCGATTTACTTTATTCTGAAGTAGCTTATTCTATTGTTATCTCTGTTACTACACAGTGGGTGAGGTTATCGCTATTTTCACTCGCTTTGTGTATTGTATACCAACCAAGGTGGTCATTTGTAAGCGATATCAGATGGTCTATTTCCTAAACATCCTTTCGAGAGTTTTTTTTTTTAAAACCTAACTTAAACAAAGAAAAATTAAGTTGAAAGGATGCACACCGTTTGCCTTTCAGCCGAAACTATTGGACCTTTAAATGGAAGATTGCCCCTCCGTTGCACCTGATGCTAAGCAGAGTTCATTTAGCCTTGGAGCTAAACGGGAACGTCGGAGGCCAACAGGATAGGATATCCTGTCATTAGATGCTGTCTTAAGACTCACGGGGACAATTACACGCTCGGTGATGAACGGATGTGCGTCACANATCTAAATAAAAGGGACGAATTCTTCGGAACATAACGATATACTGTGTTAAAAAAAACCTGTTTAAAACGGAAACCTGCCAAACCAGAAAAAATATTCGGTATTACTTGTCCGGTTTACATAGGTTTTACTGTATTTATAACTTTGAAGAATGTACAAAAGAAATTTTACTTTAATAAATGTTAGGTGAAAGTTAAAATGAATTTATTCAACTTTCATTTTTAAAAGTGCAAAAGTTTTATAAAAGTTAGGAAAGAAGGCAATCAATTCCAGAAATTTCTAGTTTAAAAAGTATTCGAGGACATTTAGAACCGTAGAAAAATTTTAATTGTCTTAAAGAATTTAAACAGGTTTTAAAAGTGTCCAATTTATAAAATTTCTCCAGGGGTAATTGTGGCGCTATAGTAGTCGATCAAGGTGCTTGAAATGTAGAAGATGACGCTTCCTAAATACTTTTCTTCGACTTTTAATCGCAAAAATTTATGGCTCATCATCTACAAAGGATGTGGTACGTAACGGAAGTCGTAACCGTAACCAATTGTTCCTATCAAAGATGCTGCAATGTATACAACTTGATGCAATATCGTGTCGATCCTTAACGACTCGCAATTATCTAGCATTATCAATGACACACTTATTTGATACATTATAATAAAAAGAAGAATAATAACACGATAAATATAACCATTAAAACTTATCGTGGATGCGTAAAGATGATGAAGAAGAGCTTTAAATTATACAACTTTGTTTATGGTTTTAAAGTAAATTTACGATTTTAAAATATTTATTAAAGCTTAAACTTGACAAATTTTAGAAAAATACTTTTAAATTTATTAATTTATAAGTAAATTTACTCGATTTTTACAGGTCAATTAACTAAATTTAAGATGTTTATCCTTACTTATCCGCATCTGTATATTATTATTACAGGCTTATTGTGTTTAGAAAAGGTTTAAAATACTTTGAAAAATATTTATTAATGCTTAAAGTTGGTAAATTTTAGAAAAAAAATGCCTTTAAATTATTAATTTATAAGTAAATCTTCTCGATTTTTACAGGTCAATTAACTAAATTTAAGATGTTTATCCTTACTTATCCGCATCTGTATATTATTATTACAGGCTTATTGTGTTTAGAAAAGGTTTAAAATACTTTGAAAAATATTTATTAATGCTTAAAGTTGGTAAATTTTAGAAAAAAAATGCCTTTAAATTATTAATTTATAAGTAAATCTTCTCCATTTTTAAAGGTTAATTAACCAAATTTAAGATGTTTATCCTTACGTATCCGCATGTTTATATCATTAATACACATTTACTCTGTTTTAAGTAATTAAAGAGATTTAAAATACTTTTTAATTAATTGTGTAAATCAATTTATAATGTATAATTTTAAAAAAAATTTGTCGCCTTGTTGAACTTAATAAGATGATAATTAATTTTGTTTATAGTATAAAAATAATTAAAAAATCTTTTCTTTAAGCTGAGAAAACATGGAAAAAACTGTAATAATAATACGATCAAATTATACGTGAAGTGTCGATAAGTTATAAGAAACGTTCAAATTAATTGGAAGTTTAATTAATATCATCTAAGCATCTAATTAAGAGAACGAGTCGAGATCTTAGTTGGAATTTGTGTTATCGTCAAAAAAAGGGGAAAAAATATACTTTCAATTTATTTTTCTTCTTATTATTTTTTTTAATGGTTTCTATCTGTTTTCCTTGGTTTAATTCTTTAAATATTCTACTCACAGGTTATGAATTATTTAGCCTTCTAATGATTAACATAATGTATTTTTAATGGCACTCTTAATGTGGTTGTCGATAGAAAATCTTAATTATTCGAAAATATTTTTGCATATTGTTTTCGTTAAATGTTTATATTAAAAAAGAAATAAATCAGATATATTAGATCTTTCAAAGAATCGATTTGTTTTATGATTAAANTTCACAAATATGAGAGATTAAAGTTTCCATCATGAATAAGGATTATAGAATTCCAATGAGAGAAACTTTGAATGGTGTATTTACTTAAGAGAAAGGTTTGGATGTGCTCCGAAATGGTTTTTTTTTTCTTTTTTTCTTTTATTTCTGAACAGTTTTTACTTTAAGGAGCCATAAGGGAAAGGTTCTTAAGTCTAAATCTATATGCATAAACCTATGTACAACCTTAACCTATTGATCTTATCTATAATATATATATATATTTTTTCCTTTTGACTATTGTTTCTTTATCTTTCTTTAGTGGGTTTTCTAAGTTAGAACTCGTAAAAAGAACATTTTTAATCATCCTTAGTTAAAACTATAAACGATAAAAAACCCAACGAGTCGATACTCTTCTGAAAAAAAAGAAGGTAAACTTACAATAGAACTTTTTGGATCAGAGCTGATAAGATTTTTTTATTGCCTTTTTTTATTTTTCTTTTCTAAGATTAACGCTTACTTCAAACGGATATGAAATACAGTAAATCAAAAATAACTCTCTTAAACTTTAGAACATTATCAAAATATAAATTATCCAATAATTCAATTAAAAGCCATCGACGTTCTCTTGTACTTTGCAAGTGTTTTTTTTTTCAGTGATGAATGTATTAACGGTTTAACTTTTTGAAAGGATATTTAAAAATTTTTTTAATGTTATCAATAATAAAAAGTTTGGCAACAAATTCCACAGACCATAAACTCATTTCTGGCAAAAATATTTACTATGTTATCTTAAGTTATGATAGGAGGATGTAGAAGACAAATCACGTTCCGTCACGCAAGAGTTATCTAAAAGTTGGAGAATCTTAAGAAATCACAGGAGATTGATAATGCTGATATAGAAGATGATATTTGAGCCCACGTGTATAATAATTTATTATAGAATAACTTCTAAATCTAAATGATAATTACCTTTAAAGCAGCATCCGGTGAAAAGATGGATATTTTTAGAACAGATGCAAATCTACACAAACTGAATATTTTCAGGAAATTTGCATGAAATTTTCCGGTTATGTTAATCAAAATGATTCAAGAATCCGTAAAACTTCATTGTCTAACAGGAAATTCGAATGGAGTAATTAAATTTTCACCATTTCTCCAGTTTATTCTATAAAGAAACACGATGATTACTAATAGGGATATCAGTAGAAATTTTATTTTCTGTAAAGTTATCGATGCGAGAAAAGTTGAAAATAAAAATAAAATAATAATAATAATAATAATAAAAGAAAGGAGTAAAGTAAAAAAAAAAAGGTGCACTCGATATCAAAAGTTACATTTGACATCGGGAACAACAACAGAAACAGGACATCGAAGAATCTTCCGCTTGTTAAAGTTGACAAAATGACAGAGAAAAGAAAAGATCGTTACTAGAATGAAGAAGACAGAAAAAAAAGAAGAAAAATTCTAGAAAGGAAGGAAAATACAGTTTCTTAATAATAGTTGTATTTATAGAACAAGCATAACAAATTTCAAAGTGGTCAACTTTCATTAAGATCTTCTTAATAAAACTAGAAACAAAGCAAATTTACATAAATTTTAAACTTTATCTTAAATGGTTAACAAGATAAAGAGTAATTATGGTGCTTCCTCTTTCTCACTCGATAGTAAAGAGAGTTCGAAGGGGATGGCTCTCCCTGATAAACAATTTTCTTCGTTTACTTCAAATGAGACTTAACAGGATACTCAACATCAACAAGCAACTTAATAGAGATCTTCAAGGAAAAGAAAAAAAATATATTACTTACAATTGAAGACAAGAGCCGTTAGATACAATCTGAGAGCATTTGTATTCCTTGCAGAAGTTCTAAGAAGAATTCACGAATTACCCTCATGTTTTTATCTCTTTTAACTTGCAAGAGTTTGGAATTTGCATGTGTGCAATGTAATTACTCCTTTGTTCTTTTGTTAGCTGTGGATGTATATCATTTTGTTTCGGATGAGTGCAGATGAAGGGGCAAGCACGTTCGTCCCCCTTCATCAATCTATAACGTTAGGGTTTATTCAGGAAAACTTCGAGTCTGTAATGGCTGTCATAGGCATATGCACAACAGAAACTGGCTAACAATAAATTAGCTGGCTGTTATGCTTTACAGATACATAATATTGTGATAATTAGGAACGAGTGAGTTGTGATCATTCTTGTTAAGCACGTGTATTTGACATCTACAAACTTATCAAATTATAAGCTTAACTACTCTTAATAGTTAGTAAATTGCTTCTTTTGTTGTATAATAAAATTTTATAGGGTATATTAAAATTATCGAATGTTTAAACCTGGAGATTTTTACATAAATATTTATTGCTTTGCTTGAATAATAAAAGATTGTTTAAGAAAATTAACTTACTTGTTTATAGCTGTGTGTAAGCTTATTTAGAGATTTATCACGTCTTTACTAATTAGGCAAATCTTGGTGAAAAATGAATAGTTAATGTTGTTCGTTGAACTGTATAGTGGAATTATCTTGTTGATGACATTGTTAATATATTGCTTAGACATTATTATCTTCCACGAATAATTTTAATAACTGCTTAATGAAGAAGTATCACTTTTGTTTCTTTGTGTTCTTGTAACACACTTCTTCTGTCAGTTTAATATTTATCACTCGGTTAATAATAAGTTTTCACTTTATATAACTTACAATTGAACTAACTTTCTGTGAAAAATAAGCAAAGATGAGTAATACTTATTCTACTTTTGATTAAATGTGTGCTTCTTTCATGGTTTTAATTATATTTTGACTGCTTTCTTTCTACTAAATTATGTTTCTATTGATGTTTTTAAATTCTAAAAAATCAAAATTCGATTAAATATACGCTTTTTTCATGGTTTACATTCTATAAGCATCACTAGAAACATAATTTACTGTAAAGAGTGATGTTTCTAGAATCTAAATAATCAAAATTCGATTAAACATAAATCAATAAATAAATCATTACAATCAAAATCTATCTCTCTGCAACAAAATCTGAGACAATCCTCTGGTAATTTCGAGATATCCAGATATCGATCCATTAGCAGAACGTGAGATCCCATCACCTTTCATACCATCGACAAACAAAACAGACAAATCAAAAACGATAATAAAATCATTTATAAATCTTTTATTTTAATCATTAATATTATCAAAATTTGATTACTAAATGTAAATCCTAATAATAAATTGGTAAAAGTTTAATAAGAAATGCAACACTCCACATAAATTTCCTCTTCTTTTCTTTCATTAAAAATTATTTATTTAAAAAATAAAAATAAAACGAAACGGTTTAAGAAAATGGTTTCATTCAGTAAATTTAATTAATTATTTTTATGGATTTATCTGTAAAAAAATCTTACTTACTAATCATTTTTTTTTGGAGAGATATTCTTTCATCTTTCGTGTCTGCGATTTAATAATTTATAACTCTACTCGAATTTTTAAGCATTTATTAAACATTCTGTGAGGAATATCATTAGTATTTAAGGCAATATTCCGATCTTCAGATAGAATTCCACAATTTTTTTTCCTATATTTTTATATTTTTTTTAGTATCCAAGAGAACAATGACCGGTTATGATACAGATGAAAAATTGCTTCCTAGCAAGAGATAGGGAAGAGAGGAGACAAAAGTGAAGAGATGAAAATGTAAATGAACTTGTACTGCGTTAGAAATTTGCTGTTTTGAAGAATTACATGTGCTATTAATTACATTTAAACACGATTTGCTAATGTCTTTTTTTATTTTTTTTTTTGAACTCCGATTTTACTGTAGAACGATTGAACTGATAGAAGCGATTTTGAAGCATGAAAAGAACTGTCAACTGGCGAATAATTGTATTAATTTATTAGTTTTGACACGCCAGAAAAGTAAGATAGATGAGTTGAAAAATTTATTTTAAATTTGACATAGAATATCCTATAACACGATTGATAAAAGTTATTTTTGAACTTTATTTATACCACCATTTTATTGTCAATATTTATCTTTTCATACACTAGATGGCGAGGCTGAAATCATTACAATAAACACTAAAAATAACCCCACATTTACGTTTAAAATATTTATTTTAGAAATAAACATTTTAAACGCAAAGGAGAAAAATTCAGTATTATAATTTATATTATCAAGTGAACCTGAAAGGGTCGATAATAATATAACGTCTCATTAACGATGATTAACGTTACATTGAAATTAAAAAATTTTCAATATTTTAATTATAATTGATAAATTTTGCTATTATTTTTATTAAAATGAATTATAAAAGCAGTTTTCATTACATAATCTCAATATGTAAACGTAGATATAACAGAGAAAATATTGCTTATTTATCAATATATATGTAATAAATTAACATTTATTTCTAGCAGAAAGCTTTAAAAGAACAAATCGATATCTTTTTTTGTAAAATAGAAAACTATATCGCGTTTTAGATAGTCCCAATGGATGCCATTAACACACTCAACAATGCATTTTATCGGTGCTGAGTAAATAATAAATATTTGATGCTCTCTTTTAGATAGCAAAGTTTGAAAATTTCTTACAAAAATATAAACAATACACGACTAACTAATGCTGAAGTTTTTATCTCATTTTGTTTTTTTTAATACATGAAATTAAATTTCTTATTAGTCACGTCGCAAATAACGAAAAATTGATTTAAAATAAACTAGATCTATTGCATATTTTGATATATTATGATAACTATTAATAGTTATAGAAGGAAAAAAAAAAAGACAAACTTATTAATCTTCGTAAGAAAAAATTAAGTTTACTTATTTTAAAATTTTAAAATTTAACAATAAAATTTAATAAAAGCTTATATTAATGATAAATGTTTGTACTACTATTGTCTAGTGGATTATAAAGGATTATACTTTAAGCCTATGTAAAGTTTTAATCAGTGATAAAAAAATTTTAATTCTTCTTAACGATAGAGCGAGTTAACTTTAGAGCAATTATTAAAAAAAGAAAAGAAAATAATTTAAATACATCAGAAGTTTATATTAAATTAAATTTAAGATTTCTTAATAACTAGTCTGTTTTTTAAATCATTATATTTTATTAACAAGATAANATATACAAACATATTTCCTTATAATAAAAAATAAAAATATGCTTGGTTTCTGTAGGAACCGTATTTATTAGTGGTCGAGTGGATAGAACATTGATATAGTTGGTCGTGGGTTTGCACCTGACCAACGTGGTGCCCACGCGGAGTTTTTAGTGTTTTCTTCACGCGCGTAACACCTAAATAGGAACCAGTTTACCCATAGAGAGTCCTCCCGAGAAGCATTTCCCCTTGGTAGATGCGTATGTTATGTTGCCTCATTTTATGAAGCTAAACCAAATTAAATCTGAAGGAATCGAACCAAAGTCTTGATTAGATCCCGGAAATCAGTATTGGAGCATGTTTGTTCCATGCTTTACGTCTTTCATAGGCGTAATTTAGCTGCTTATTCGTGTTTTTTTTATTGTAAAATATTAATCGGTTAACTATTTCAGCAAAAATTTGCATGATTAAAAATTACTGTTACATATGAATAAAAGAAAGACAAATTTTTATGGTTATATATCGTAGAGAAAGAGAGAGAAAAGAGGGGGGAGAAAGAAGAGGAAGAGAAGAAGCAGGAGATATCAAACCGATAAATTAGTTATTGTTTGCTAAGATTCCATATATTTGAAGGAAATCGAACATATGATTTTTTTGTGTGTTTTGAAGAAGACAAATTTATAAAGAAATTGAGCTAAGTACTAGAGCAAATAAACTAATTTTAAATCTCTTTTTCTTTTCAGCAAAACGAATCCATTAAAGATGCTGATTTACACAAGAAGATCTCTGCGATTTAGCATCTTTCGTTTGCTGAAGAAATCGAACTAAAGAGAGAGACGGGATCAAAAAGACCAGAGCATTAAGTTTAGTGTCCTCTTATTTCTTGAAGGAACAAATCTTCAAAACTCAGGAGAATCTAAATAAGAAGAGCTCTGAGATTTGATATCTTTTGTATGTTGAATAACTGAATCAATAAAGGAATGGTGTTTAAGTGACTAGAACAATATAGATAATTTTATTCTGTTTGTTGAAAGAACAAATTTACAAATTGTAAGTAAATCTTTATAATTAAAAACTGAATGTTTAGACAATTGTAGATTAAATGAAAATACCATTATTCCTCGAATCCCATTAATTAAATAATTTGATTAAATCTATATTTTTACATTTTAATTTTTTCTGTGGATATATTCTTTTATTTTCCGACATTTTTAACTTGAAAACTATTCTTATTATTACCAAATATTAATCCAATGCAAATTCATTTTAATTCATTTATTCTATTGTATTTTTATTCGAAGAGAGAATTTCTATTGAAATTAAGATTAATTGAATTAAGTATTTTCTATTGTTTCGTATCTGTTATTGAAAATTGTATATTTTTCTTTCATTATAATGCTAAAGATTTAAATCTGACAGAGTGTAGAGTTTTAAACGAATCAAAAGCAGGAGCATTTTGGAAGTGGAAAAGTATCCCCGAAGCGATGTTTAGACTCACAAACAACTATAAATGTCCTTCTATTAGGGAGAAATTTAGAAAAATCTCTTACCTTCCATCTTAATCAAGACACACTTTTGTCATTCTATTAAGCTTCATCGATTTTAAGTCAATTTATCCACTTTTTCCCAGTCACTTGAATGAAAAATTGAATAGTTTCTTTCAAGAATTAAATTCTATAGAATTGTTTGTGCTTCTAAAAATATATATATATTTTTTCTTTTTCACACTTTCTCTTATATTAAACTATAAAAAATACTTTAAATTTGTTTAGAAAAACAATAAATGTTTAAAAATTTAAAGAACTGTCTATAAAATATGTTCCTTAATAAAAAGTTTATTCTGTATCTAAGCGATTCTTGATGATTAGTAGAAAAGATTTCTTTTCTTTTTTCTTTTTTTAACTTTTCTTTTTTTTCCAATTTAATAAATTGTGGTTTTAATGTCATCTCCACCTGCTTCGCATTTGACAGTTCAACATGTTATTTTTAATTTTTGTTAAATTTTATGGCTAAATTTTTAAAATTACATCATCTTAGAATATAGAAAACGTCCGTATTTTTTCCTTCACATCAATCTGTCATGTTAATATTTNTGATAGTATCTTTGGCCCTTCAAATTCTGCTTATTTTCTTTCAAATTATTGATCTAAAATGTTATTTTTTAACGATTTATATAACTGATATAAAATAACAAACAAAAATGATATTAATCACTTGTCAAAAATACATTTCTACATTCTTTAAAAGCCGAACAAAATGAAATATATATACTATTTTTTATATATATAAAAAAATAGAATTTCTTTTAGTATATTTTTAAACGCCCGAGGTTAAAAAGAAATGCTTGAAAGACTACACATCAGACAATTTTTCTTACAAGCTCAGGATTTTTACTTAGAAAAATTTATAAAGAACAAAAAAAATTATATATATATAAACTTAATTTTATTAAGAAAAATTAATTTTGAACACTATTTTATATTATTGTTTTAAAATAATCGAAAATTATTCTTAGAAGGAAGAAGAAGAAGGAGGAAAAAATATCACTTAGGTTTTACCTGTCATAAAATACATTAAGATATAAATAATGATCTTTATGAGCTTTTAATTTGGAAAAATTGAATTAAAAAAAAAATAATTTAAAACGAATAATTCTGTTTAATAAATCAAAAAGCAAGATCTTTTCAATGGAAAGAGAAAGAGAGGTAGAAGAGGAGTGTAAGAGAAGGAGGAGGAAGAAAAAGAGTGAAGGAGAAGGAGGAATTTTTTAAAAATTAATACACAATATAAAGACCCTTACAGAATTCTAAACTTTGACCTTATTTTATTATTAGCTACATTCTTGAGGAGTTATGATCAAAAACCGAATTTGGACGTAATAAATCGTTTCATCAAACGATTTGTCACATCCTGTTTACGTGTCTTGAGTTCTATAATTGTTATCGATGAAGTTGCTACATGAGAAGCACAATCCAAGCAGAAGTCGTTCCATCATAAAACTTGGAAACCATTCGACATTAAATCCTTATAAGTTGCTATATGCAGCATTCAATCTTTGTTTCCTCTCCTCCGACGATTCTACATCTCGTGTCAAGTGGAGATTAAAATACACTGTTTACAATCCTTAAAATGTATTCAGTAAAGTTTATTTTAAGGTTTCGACACGGAAATATTCCTAATGCACAATGCTTTAAAATGATTTAGTTAATTTAAATTTGGATAATATTTGATTACACTTAAAATTAGCTCAGAAGATATTTTAATAAAAATGCTCAAAGAGTTCAATTTCAAGAATTTAATCAAGTAAAGGAGTAAAATGTACAAACTTTAATGGAAATCTTTACATAGTTAGAAGTCAGTTTCAAAAATTTAATCAATTTCTACTAAAAGTATCAATTTCATATAAACGAATGCAATTAAAATGTTAAAAAGAATCAATTTCGACCATTAAACTGTAACTGATTCTATTATAACATTTATAAAAATGTTAATTACAATTAAAAATTGAAAATGACGCGAAACAGCTGATGTTAAATATGCAAGAATCAATCATTTTCGATTAAAAATGTCATTTTCATAAATTAATGCGGGTAAAATTAAAAAAAAAAGAAAATTAATCAATTTCATTTATTAAATGAAATTGATTAAATTAAAAATGTTAATTCCAATTAAAATTTTTAAAAAGCAATTGAAGTTAAATATTTAAGATTAATTAAGTTCATAATATAACTTAATGTAATAAAAAATTTTTTAAAAATTTTATTTTAAATATTAAGTAAAATTAATTTAATTAATTTCATTTTAA